AAACCCCTCAGCGCCCCACAAAGTCACTAGTGGGAAAAGAACAAAGGCCTTTCCAATGCAACTAACACAGATGTGCCCAAAGGCGAACTGTCAGAAACAGTTAAGATGACAGCTACTCACAGTTCATTATTTCCTTCTCACAGGTCACTGGGTGACAAGCTGGGTCAGCATGCTTTGTTGGCTGGCCCGGTCCTTCCCCACCCCCTATTCAATTTAAATACTGTTAAAGGGCTGCTTTGGCTAAACTAATGTAAACAAACACATTCCAGACACTTAAAGATGCCAGAACATGGCATTTGTTTTACTTTGGACAAAAGTTGGGAATTAAATATACACACAACTTACTTTATGGAAGCAAGAAGGGAACAAAAATATTTTCTGAAGGTGAGATTTAAGCAAACAAAAAAATGAACTAAGAACCTACATTTAAGACCTTATGGAGGATTTCTCTTTTTCAATGAGAAAAAGAATTTTCTGATATAAAAAAAAGATAATTATCAGGTTGTTTCCCACTGTTGACAATGTGAAATTTAAATAAAATGATCCTGCAGCTAGGAGAATCCACATTTTGGTTATGTTTTAAGAGTGTATTGAAGTGTGTATGTTTTTTAAAGGAAAATAATTGGAAATACTTCATCAATCCAAACAGAGAGAGTCTACTCAACTTTTGCATGACGTAAAACAAATGAAATTTTAATAATGACTTAACATCACTATTGATATACCTTCTGTTGTGATAACAAAAAATAAAAACGCTGGTGAGGAGGGTGGTTTACAGATCTATATAGGTCTAGATTCAAATCCTAATTCGTCCCTTAGCCAGGTATATGACTGGGTATTTAGGGCTTGAGTTCTGTAGCTTAACTGATAATAAGACTAAATCCATCATTAGCTTACAATGGCAAAACACAAATCAATTTCTCATGATGTTATGAGAATAAGTCAATATGAGAACAACTATGGTCATATGGTAAATATCCAATAAATGCAAGCTATTAGTTTCCTGTTATTAAACTAAATCATCAAAGCCTGAAAATCTTAAATGTTCACAATGTTATAGCCATGTTATTAGAAAAGAACTTCTAAGACTCTCTAATTTAAGGGTAATTTTTTTTTGGTCGGTCATGGGGCTTGAACTCTGGGCCTGGGCGCTGTCCCTCAAGCCATCAGCTCAAGGCAAGCATTCTACCGGTTGAGCCACAGTGCCACTTCCAAGGGCAAATTTCTGTAAATCAGCAGATCTAGAAACTTGGAAGCAAGAAGAAAGCAATGGTTCACAATTTCTCTTAATATTTCCTACCTTTTCTTTACTCCTCAAGGATAATTTAATATATTGCTATGATTATTATTTTTCCATTTCTAAATTATTCTACCTTGTTTAAAGGTTCCCCAAGAAGTTAATTTAAAATAATAGCCTCCATTTGAAAGGCTGAAGATTTGGAAAGAATGCTAAGACAAGGACATGAATGGTCAAGTTAATTATACTATACAAGCTAAATATAAAAGTTTGGTTTAGATAGGTCTCCCTTAAATTAGTGGCTTAGAGACTCTAGCCAAGTAATTTAATCTCCACGTGCTTCATTGCTCTCATTAGTAAAATAGAGATGATTCCTCTGTTTATTTCCCTTCTATTATTGGGAAGCCATGTACTTAAAGCACTGAACATGGTAAATGTATCATTTATAGGGTAATACTTTTATTTTCACCTATTACTTGCCATCACCTAAAATCTCCGTTTTTCCCTAAATTAAACTATTGTGATTCTCTCCTTCCTCACTTAACTCAGCTACTTCCCGGAAGTACATTGTATATATAAACATGTGTGTATATCCATCATACAATCATTTTCAATTAAATGTTCTTTGTTCAGATTATTTACTTGTAACTTTTCCTTGATGTTATAAAATTCTATTTCTTTTTCATATTTCTGAAATTCAGATTATTTTACAAAATTCATTTATTGTGTGCAGTGACATTTTTTCTTTAACTGAATTTACATTGAGAAAAGCAAGAAAATACAAAGCTTTCCTTGAAGCTAAAGTAATAGAACACAGGTTTTTTTTTTCCTAACAAGACACCAATATATCAAATTCAGTACTGCACTCTAATTTTGCCCCATAATGCCTTCTTCAAAAACAAAAGAAAGGGATTGCAACGAGTTTTCAGTCTTTTTTTTTGTTGTTTGTCTGTTTTTGTTTTGATTTGATTTTGTCAGCTGTGAGGCTTAAAGTCAGGGCTTGGGCACTGTCCCTGAGTTTTTTGGCTCAAGGCTAGTACTCTACCATTTTGAGCCACAGCTCCACTTCTGGTTTTATGGTAGTTAACTGGAGGAAAGATTCTCACAGACTCTTCTGCCAGGACTGGCATTGAATAGCAATTCTCAGATCTCAGCCTCCTCAATAGATAGGATTACAGGTGTGAGCTACTGGTACCAGTTTCATTTTCAGTCTTTATTCAAATCAGTTTTGTTAAGGAACAAAGACAAAAGGAAAGACAATAAAATTGCATATACTCAAGTCAATTTTGAGGACAGAGGGAGGAGAAATTAGTTAATTTTTCTGTGCTCTTATAGAGGGAAATTTTATAAGGCCTAAAAGATAAGCACAACAATGTTAACTAAGAAAAGGCCACTATGAAATTCTGATGAAATGAAATTTCAAATATATTTATTACTCAATCCCTATTGATGTGAAATCACACTTCTGACATAAGAGTCCCCCTATTTACAGAAGGGATGTATTCTAAGACCCCCAGGGAAGGCCTAAAACTGTACATAGTAGTACCTAGTATATACTATGCTTTTTCTACATATACATGTCTATGATACCAATGTTAAAGTTCAATTGTATAAGCAAAGCAACAATACTTATAGTAATAATTAATAATAAAAATATATAATTAAAAATGTTTAAACACCTGTTTCTTTGTTGTGGTTTTTGGTTTGTTCCTTTGGCAGTACTAAGGTTTGAATTCAAGGCCTTGTAGAGTGCTTGTATGACCCTCTACCACTTGAGCCACACGTCTGACCTGGCTTTTGGCTGACTATTTTGGAGATTGAGTTTCAATGACTTTTCTGCCTGGATTGGCCTTAAACCTTGGTGCCCTGAATCTCATCCTCTTGAGTAGCAAAAAAACAACAGACCTGAACCATTGAGATACAACCCACACTAGATTTTTCACTTCTGGGATTTTCCATGTACTATTTTTGGACCATAGTTGATATTGGTAAATAAAATTGCAACTATGGATAAACAGTACTAATGCTTGTTAAACATTCTCTTCTATCTCTACTTGTTTTCAGGACATTTTTACACCTACCACTTACTTCTTTGTTCCTAGAAATTTAAAGATCTCATTTAGTTCTAACAACTCAGGTTATTTTGCTCATTAGCTGACACTTGGGGGGTGGGGGGGGGCAGAGTGTCACTAGTGCTATGTCTTTCCCTCCATGTTCAGTCATCAGATCGTACTACTTCAGGTAAGACACAATATCAAAATGAAGAAGCCAGATCTCTAAATCACACAAGCTCACTACCCCCTGAAATAAAGCAGAGGAAGGGAAAAGTCATAGGGAAGAAGGTTAGACATCACAGGCAAATACAGAAACCTCATACAAATTTCAAGGCTTTGAAAGCAGGAGTAACCTGTTCTTCCTCCTCTTCCTTGACCATGGCTCAGGACAATGTTGAGGATAACCACTTCCTTGGTATTGTCTCAGAAAAGATAGAGCAGACATGATTGCTCCATGATTCTGGAAACCAGGTCAACAACCAGCTCAAGAGTATTATGAGGTATTTCCACAAGCCCTGTGCTTTCCTGAGTTTCTACTCTAGACGAAAACATCAGAAAGATGGTGCTCAAGATCCTACCATTGTAGCAACACAGGAATCATAGTGAGTGTGCTTAAATGTAGAACATGGCCCAGCTATGTGGCTGAAGCCCTGTGGTCATGTTGTCAAGCATCAGAGATTTGAGACCCTTGTATGTGATTAACAAATAAGTGGTAAGGAAAAGAAATCCCAGGCCCTAAGTTATCGTAGCATCCAGCACACCCTCGTAATACGATACAGAACAATTCTAAACATGCTTCTAAACATGTTTCTGTGCTTTATTACCAAAATAACTAATGTAAATTATTAATGATACAATAAATTGAAGAGCAACTTTTGCTATGTAATAGGAAAAAAATTACCCTCCTATCAAAATCCCAGATAGGAATACACAATATCAAAAGAATGTAAAATAATCATTAATTAAAATTAATAGTTGAAGAGTTGCCAAGTTTTTTCCTTTTAAATGCAAGTGACATTTCCCTCTGTAATAAAAATATTTAAAAGTAGGAATCTTGACATTTTAGTGAGATGGTATGTAAGAATTGTCTTACTTAAAAGTATTTTAGTCAGAAGTAATTTCAAATAATTATAGATTAAAATTGCTGTTTATAAAGTAATTTTGTGATTTCTATCAAAGCCAACAAAAGGCAAAGAATAAACTTTAGTTTGTAATTAAGTTCATAAGAAAAACAATTTCCATTTTCTAACCTATGATAGTTTTTATTTCACTAGGAAATCACTGATGTTACATTTACTATTTAAGACTATGCATGTACACTCTTCCTCAGAACTAAATATAATGTTCTCATAGAAAATAAAAATTATTTTCAGGGTTTGGACTTCTTCAACATATCTTGGCATTTTCATAATTGAGTATATGTGCAGTAGTGCTCTGGCTTAATTATGCTATTATATTTTAGGGGAAATTGCTTTCCAGGAAAGCAATCCCTTCCAAGTATATTTATAAATGGAACATACATCAATCCTTAACAACATACATATAAATGTCACCTCTCCTCATTGAAAGTGACCCTAAAACTGCTATGCTTGAAAGCCAAAGGGCTTTTGAGATATTTTAACAATCTTCAAGAAATCAATCTTACATGAAACTGAAGGAAAACATCGAATGTCATTGAGCAATGAAGCTCAGTCTTGTCAGCATCCTACCTCTGAGCAGAAGCCTTGGGATGTTTCTCTTCCAGTTTCCTCACCAGTGCCACTGTCAGCTGTTCCGTCTCCTCAAGAGAACCTTCTGGCGTTGCATGGGTGTCAGACAATTCTGGCAGTGGCTTCAGAGAAGAGTTGCTGGGACATTTTTTCAAAACCTAATAAATGGAAAAAAAGAGTAATATGGTTCATTTTCATTGAGTGAAAATACCTAAACTACATATGCCAAAAATATAACAAGTCCCACAGCTCCTTCAGGCTCTACACAGTAAAAAAAAAAAAATCATTAGACACGGCCAGAACAAAAGGAGGTAATCCTAAGAAAATGCCAGTGTCTCTCTAATTAATAAAACAGTATTTACATAGATATATATGGTATTCGTAGAAATGTAAATGTGCATATGGCTTTTATACTCTGTGTATGGTTTTAAACAATCACTAACAAGATGCAGGTTGTCTTCTGAAAGCAACTTGAACAGGTTTTTTTTTCTTTTCCAAAGTGTATTTTAGAGACCTGATTCTACCTTGCCTTTTGGTTCACAAAACTGACCTCGTCTGCTATATTTTTGCCACATTCTTGATGAGCTGTGGTCCAGATGCCATGGTGAATGTGATACTCAGCCTGGGTCACATCCACATGTGTGCTTAGCTCCTCTAGGTAGGTCAGAACCAACTGAGGATAAGCCTGTAAAGAAAGGGAAAAAATTAAAGTAATACCAGCCTTGTAAGTTATAACCAAAAAAAAATTTATTCACTTGAAAGGATGAGAAAGTAAATTAGTAGTAAACAGTTCTGGCTCATAAACTTTGCATTTTTATACTAAGTTCAGATAAAAAGCAAGCCATCTTAGCTATGCAAGGAAGTGTAAATAGGAGGATTGTGGTCCAGGCCAGTCCTAGCTAAAACCCTACCTTAAAAATAATGAGCCCAAGCCAGATGCCAGTGGCTCACGCCTGTAATCCTAGCTAGTCAGGGGGCTGACATCTAAGGATCATGTTCAAAGCCAGCCTGGTAAGAAAAGTCCTGGTGAGACTCTAATCTCTAATTAACCACTCAAAAACCAGAAATAGCGTTGTGGCTTAAGTAGTAGAATGCTAGCCTTGAGCACAAAGAAGCTCAGGGGCATTGCCCAGGCCCTGAGTTCAACCCCCACAACTGACAAAAAAATAAAAATATAACAAGCCCCAAAGGGCTGGGGTGTACCTTAATTAGTAGAGTGTTTGCCTAACAAATGCAAGCCCTTGTGTTCAAACCCCCAAATTATATGTATACACAAAGGAAATTGGTGGATAATTAAAGATACTGAGGTTCTGACACTGTTCGGGTGTGTATGGAGGCAGGGGGAGGGAGAGGGAGAGGGAAGATACTGAATAACTTTAAACTCTGCCAGAAAATGTGTAAGCATACATGCTAAAAATACAACACTCTCCAGAACTTCAAACACATTTTTCTAAGTGCAAGAAGTCAATCTGAGGAAGTTACACACTCTGTGATTCCCACTACAGGACTTGCTGGAAAGGTCAACATTATGAAGATAGTAAAAACATCAGTGGTTGTCAGGGGTTAAAGAGGAAAGAGAGAAGAATACATGAAATACAGATTTAGGGGCAGTTAAATATTTCTGTGTGATGCAATTATGGCAGATACATGTTACTGTACATTTGTCCAAACCTACAGAGCACACAAGACCAAGAACAAAGCTGATGTAAACTATGTACTCTGGGTGACAATGATGAGACAATGCAGGTATATAATCAAAATTACTTTTTGTGCTGCAAACAATGCCATTAAGAAAGTGAAGACAGACACCAAAGGGGGAATATTTGCAATATGTCTGATAATGATGATATGTACTCAGTAAAAAAAAAAAACAATTAAAACAGGAGAAAATGATTGGAATAAATTCCTCCAAGGAAGATATGCAAGTTGCCAGCAAAACATGAAAAGACGTTCAATATCACTAGTTATTAAAGAAAAACAAATCAAAACCTTAGTGAGATAATATCCATTAGGTGACTATAATCAAAATGATAGAGAATAAAAAGAGTTGGAAAGGATGTTGAATGGTCAGAATGCCTAAAATGTTGATGGTAAGAAATGTGAAATGGAATGACCCTTTATTTGGATGTTTCTCAAAATGTTAACTGTGGAGATATGACAGTAAATGCACTGCTCATTATATATTCATGAGATATAAAAGGATATGGTTCATCAAAGTATTATTCATAATAGCTAAAATAGTGGAAATAAAATATTCTCATAAATGGATATATGTATATATATCCATATATATAATGTATATATGGATATATATGGGGTATTATCATAAAATTGAATGCATTTGATAGTCTGTTATGACTACTTAGTAACATATCTGCCACGATATGTTACTAAGTAGAAAACTCTTGGTGACATAATCATATAGCTATGCATGTATATGTATGTTTAGATTATCTAATTAATTAGTAATTATATATTATATGATCATACTTGAGGAATAGGGTTGAGAAGAACTTTCACTAGTTATTATTAACCAATTATTCAGTTTAAATTATTCAAGGTTTAAAAAACTAACATGCTACTTTTATTACTTAAATGAGAGCCATAAAAAACACTGCTAACATACACATATTAATTTCTGGACATATACATATAAACTATCTGTGAGTGAATAACTAGGAAACAGAACTGATGTTTGAGAAGTAGCAGCTTTACTTCTCAGTATATTTTATGACCCTTTTATAATGTACATAAGTTGCTTGCATAAAAATTACTACTTTCAAAACCAATTAAGAATTTTCTTTCTATGGGCTGGGAAGGTGGCTCAGTGGTAGAGTGCTTGCCTTGCATGCCTGAGGCCCTGGGTTCTATTCCTCAGCACCACATAAGCAAAAAGAAAAAAGCCGGAAGTAGTGCTGTGGCTCAAGTGGTAGAGCGCTAGCCTTGAGCTGAAGAGCCCAGAGTTCAGGCCCATGACCGGACCCAAAAAATAAAATTTTCTTTCTAGGCTGGTCTTGAACTAGCAGTCCTCCTATCTTCATGTCCAGAGTGCTAGCATTACAGGTATGTGCCTCTATATCAACTAAAAGCAGTTCTTTTTGTTGGTCGTGGGGCTTGAACTCTGGGCCTGGGCGCTGTCCTTGGCTCTTCAGCTCAAGGCGAGCACTCTACCACTTGAGCCACAGCACCACTTTCTCAGATAATCTTGAAAGAGAATTTTGAAATACCAAGCTAAGCTAAAAGAAGTTTAATATCTTAAAAAAGGTAGTATCTATACATTAGTTTTTCTTTTTTTCATTTCTCTTTTCTTTTTTCTATGATTTTATTATAAATATGTTTTTTCTTATGTCAGCTCTTACTATCGTAAATATGTTCATGACAATTCAATTGAAGAGAATGTAGTAGACAACGGAGAAATAGTCTATTTTGCTCTGGTTTTACAATAAAAACATCAAATCTCAAATTTAACAGCAAAAGGTCATTCAATATGAGAGGATGCAGGATTAAATATTAAAAGAATTCGTTTATAAAAAGCAAAATGAGCAGTGGATACTTTTTAAGACAAGTATCAACCTCATAGCTCCAACTAGGAGAGACAGAAACCCATTTCTATATTCCACTGCTAGTTTCATATTTTGCATCTTCAAATAGCCATAAAGACATTTATTATAAGTTGACTTCCAAGGTACATTTCCTTCATGTTACTGAGAGCATAAGAAACTTTCAATATACATTCAATGAGATGGATGAAGTATCCAAACCTTGGTGAGGCTGAATACTCTACTAGGTATCACAGGAGCACATACCCAAAATTGTATAATAAAACAAAGATGTGAGAGACCTTGAGAAAGACTGCAACCCATACTCCTACCCCACATATAGAGGCATTCATAAACTGTCCAGGCACCTTCCCTTTGGTCTAATTCTAACCCATTTGTCTGCCAGGTGATAGCTATCTTAAACTATTGCTCCCACAGTTCTTCAGTGTTGTCTACTCCAATACCAAGTGAACTTGTTCAGTTACTGGACGACTCATACAGAGAACTCATTTGTCTAGAAGCTGCAGCTATAATATACAAAAGAGAATCTTAATCATTTCTTAAAAAATTATAAAGACTACATTATGTGGAGTTGAGATTGTACCAAAGGATAGCCAAAAAAGAATCATCCATTCTATGCTGTTTCCCTGATCAATCAGAAAGATAACATTTGCAGCTATGATGGTGGTTGTCACATTATTTTTATCTGTGTATTCACATAGTCTACTTTCTTGTAGAAATTAAAGATCTTCTTTTTCATACACTGATATACCATATTTCTAAGTTCTGGCAGACATACTCATAGTTTATTCCATGTTTACTTTTTTTGGGGGGGTCTGGTCATGGGGCCTGAACTCTGGGCCTGGGCACTGTCCCTCAGCTCTTCAGCTCAAGGCTAGCGCTCTACCACTTGAACCACAACACCACTCTGGCTTTTTTCTTTTTTTGCTTATGTGGTGCTGAGGAATCGAACCCAGGGCCTCAGGCATGCAAGGCAAGCGCTCTACCACTGAGCCACCTTCCTAGCCCCTCCATGTTTACTTTTGACATATTTCATTGTGTCCTATCTCATTAGTTGCTAGAGAAAATATTGTAACTGGATTTTTATTTTTATTTATTCATTTTTGCTTTCCATCTGTTTCATGACAGAGTCCTGACCCTCTTACTCAACTAACAGCACACAATTTAGAGATCTTTCAAGAATCAAACTGCTGGGTATTTTAGTTGCATCTCCTACAATGAAATATCTGCAAATGCAGGTCTTCAAACCATGGCTCCTATTAGTATTTCTCACAATCTATTATTTAAATTTTTCCTGACATGCTAGACCAGCCAGCCTCCAGCAAGTACATCCCTTCCAGTATACATAGGATCTTTAATCCTTTTTCCTAGAGAATCAACAACCTAATCTTCCAAACTTTCTTCCCTCTGATGTACCAGCTCATCATCCAACTGACCCTAAGGTCTTAACCCAACAGTATGTTCAATATCCA